AATGACCAAAAGCGCTCTAAAACCAGGCTAATCGACAAGCTAAACCCAGCTAACCATCGTATGCTTAGATGGGTTTTTTTCAGCAGGGTTGACATCAAAGAATTAATTATAAGCCTTAAATTTGTCTAAAGAATGGAGAATAATACAACAGCATTACCCTTTCATTAAAACATTCAGGTTCATTTTGCAGTTAAAATGAAAGTGTTGTTTAAAATGCACCCTGTCTGGTTTTCCTAATCAGTAATCAAATGGCTATTTTCATTGAAAGTCTATTTAGTTGAAGACTTTCATTTGCTTATTTAAAAAGAGTTTGAGACCAGTGTGTTAATAAAGGCAGATGGCAGTAGTCCCTCCCCAGCACTTCTGCAAAGTAATAAAATGGAAACCATCTCTGATCAATCACTACACATGGGGTGGACAACGATGGCCTCATTACCACGATGGCGCCTCAGAGGCACAGTTGCTTGATAGCCCTCTAGTTTATCTGCGCTGCAGTTTGGCGAGCCTTCTGGGTAATTGGCACCAGCAGCAACAATCAACAGAGAGAGCATTCATTTCTCCTTTTTTTTAGTTTCAAAACCTCGCCGAGCTTTAAAAAATGCTTGGAAGCTAAAAAATGTTAGGCCTTTTTTAGCATCTAAGCCTGCATTCAAATCTCAATGAAATCTGATTTGATATTATAATACAAAATATCGTTAAATCTGTATACATTGATTAGCATTCTTGTATTTTCTTAGGATTGTACCTGCAATGTTGTTAAGGGTTTTAGACTCCTCTAAATTTTAGAGCTTCTTCGGTTTTTAAAGAATAACGTATTGCTGCCACCTAATGGCAGGCTGAAGACGTGCATGTCAGGATTTCTATGTAAGCTGCGGTCTGAATTATTATTTTATAGTTCCTTCTTTAAACTGAACTAGGAGCAGCTGAAGGACTGTTATGTAATTTGTTTTGTTTATACAGCGTTTGCAAGTGAAATATGCTGACGGTGAAACTAATAAGACTTTTTGTGCCGCGTTGCACATGCGAGAAAGTTCTGTGTCCTCATAAAATTCTGCATTCCTCGAAGTTTTACCTTTTGTTGGAGGTAGATTTTCATATTAGGCTCCAAAATACAAACAGACCTGGACAAATTCATTCAGACGGAACAGAAAGTCCTGTAAGTGAATGAGTTCAATAAATGTTCTCCACGTTTTCCATCACTGACAGTTAGCATTAGCACAATAAAAGCTGAGATGATTTATATTCTTTACTTTTCATAGCTATTATTGACTTTATTATCCTATTTTACGGTTTCGTAAGGAGAGTTATTCAATTGGCCTATTGGAAATGCTTTTCATGGTGTTATTTGCTATTATGTCTCTATCTCTATAGCTGATAATTTGAATGTTATTAGGTAATTTTCTTCCCATTTTAAAATGGCGTCGACCTATTAACTATACTGTTTTCATTATGGTGACTTCAAATAGGATAAACAAAAGTAAATTAGACCTTCTTTTGACAGTCATCCTGAGGTCAAAAAGTGACCTATTTTGTGTCAATAAACCTCAAATCCCATACATAATCTATAAATCTATAATTATTACATTATGTATATTGTCCTTCATAAGACATTCTCAGATTATCCATAGACGACAATATTTATCATTAATGATGATTTAGATCACCTCATTCATTCACTTTAATGACAGGCTATATAAGTTAGGAAATAAACAACCCCTGTATACAGGGGTAAACTGTACACATAGATGTTTTTATCCATGTATTTTTAAGAAACGACAGATATTATTGTAAATAATGTTGTTGTTGTTGAGTTCAATTGTTACAGATCATTGTAAATGAACAGACGGTTATGGAGGAGGCAGCTTATCTTTCACATTTCTGTAGATTTACTGAGGAGAGGTGGATTAATTTAAAGAGGCAGGCTAAACACTTGTGTCAACTCAATTTGTTTCGGTAATGTTTATTTAAGGACAGATACTGCTAAACAGGACGACAAGAAAAAGAAAGCAAGGGAATGAAACACAAATAAACTAGAAAATTATTACTTTACTATCCTAAAGGACAATGGTGATATCTTTTATTTGGATTGTGCAAAACAATAAGGATATTTAACTACATGTACACTAAAAATACAGTTGAAGTCAGAATTATTAGCCCCCTTGTTTATTTTTTTCCCCCAATTTCTGTTTAAAGGAGAGGTTTTTTTCAACACATTTCTACACAAAATAGTTTTAATGACTTCATCATTTCTAATTTATTTTATCTTTTCCATGATGACAGCTAGCAATATTTTACTTGATATTTTTCAAGAAACTTCTATACAGTTTAAAGTGACATTTAAAGGCTTAACCTGGTGAACTAGCAAGTTATAATTACCTGGTAATTAGGCAAGTTATAATTCCGTCTTTAACTGTATCTGGGGGAAAATAGTGGCAAGTAATGTAGATTCAGTATTGACATATTAAATAGGCCATAGCAACAGCATTTTATTGACAAATGTAGACATATTAGACCGCTTCTTTTTCATTTGCATTGGTTTTACTTACATTCATTTCCTTTGAAATGCTGTATTTTTCCAAAATGTAAAGTTTATATGAAACTCTATATTCATTTGTCTGTGGTGAAATTAAAATAAGTACATAAATATGCAGTTTAATTTATAAAATAGATCAGACCTTGGTAACTTTTTTTGTCTTCTGCTTCATGTAGAACAAAAAATAAATCACTTAAAATTGCTACATTATTTTCAACAACTTTTTTCTGTCAATACCAGAATATAACATTACAATGTTTTCTTTTTGAATATATAGTAAAATGTAATTTATTAACTGTCAAAACTGAATTTTCAGTGTCAGAAATCATTTTAATTGGCTGAATTGATTAGCATTTTTATAATATCAGTGTTCACTGTAAAAGAGATTAGTTGACTACCTAAAAAAATAAGTAAACCCATTGACTTAAAATCGAGCAATGTGCATAATTTAAAAAAATAAGTCAACTTAATAGTTCCAAGTTCCAACATGTTTACTCACTTTTTTAGTCAACTTGTCACATTTAACGCAAGGGGTTCACTCACTTTTGACTAATTTTAAATTGATTAACAGTGAAATCATAAGTCATGTTGCTTAATATTTGTGATACACTTTTACTAGGATTAAAGAAATGCAAAAATCACAGCATTTATTTGAAATAGTGATCTTTTTTTCCTTTTTAATTGTCTTTGATCAATTAATTCCTTTCCCCCACAAAAATACTGACCCCATACTTTTGAAAGACATTCTATATTGAATGCAGATGAGAAAAACATAAACTTACAAGTAACACTTTAAAAATGAAAATATACTTCAAGTTTCTAAATATATCTATAGATTCTCAATACATTTCATCTTCTGAAACGTAAAAATATTATGGCTTCCTTTAAGTATCGCACATTACATTACAGGCTTTATCCATCATACACAACCACATACATTGCGTAAAATTATTTTGTTGTTTTGCTCGCACACCGTCAATAAACAAAACACAGTCCATTGCTGAATAACAGTGCAGGTCCAAACACACACTGTGTAAACACTACTATTTGTCCTGTCACTTGACACATTCGCTTTACATAAGAATAGCAGCTTGCATTCAGTTTTAACAGTAAGATGATGTAAAACCCCAAATCAGAAAAAGTTGAGACAGAATGGAAAACACAAAGAGAAAGATGAGATTTCTAAATTTACTTGTATTCCAAATTTTAGTTCTTGCAACACATTTTAAAAACAGTTGGGACAGTAAAGCATTTACCACTTTGTAATCTTGCCATTCCTTTTCACAACACCTAAAAGATGTTTCGGGACTAAAGACACCAAGTAATGAATTGTTTCAGGGGTTATTTTGTCCCACTCTTCCTGCAAACAAGTCTTAAGGTTGGCAACAGTACCATAGGCCTTCATTGTTGGAATTTGCACTTCAAAACGCACCACTAATTCTCTATTGGAGACAGCTCGGGACTGCAGGCAGGCCAGTCAGGTACCTGTATCTCCTTCTTCTACAGCCAGGACTTTGTAATGTGTGCAGAATGTGGTTTTGCATTGTCTTGTAGAAATATGCTTGGTCGCCCCTGGAAAAAGAAGGCAGCATATTGTGCTCGAAAATCTCTATGTACTTTTCAGCATTAATGGTGCCATATACTTTTGCCAAGGGCATTGACATAACCCTATACCATGACAGACCCTGGTTTTTGAACTTGTTGCTGGTAACAGTCTGGATGCTGATTTTCTTTTTTGGTCCGGTGCACTCGGCGTCCATTTCTTCCAAAAAAAAAACAAAACCCTAAAATACTGATTAATTTGACCTCAGCACATGTTTCTATTGTTTGATGGTCCATCTCAGATGCCTCCAAGCCCAGAGAAGTGGACGATGCTTCTAGACACTTAACATATGGCTTCCTTTTGGTACAGTATGATTTTCACAGGCAAATATGGATGTAACTACGTATTGTGTTATTTGGCAAAGGTTTACCAAAGTAGACCTGAGCCCATTTGGCGATATTGCTTATTAATGAATGATGATTCTTGATGCAGTGCTGCCTGAAGGATTGGAGATCACGGTTGTTCAGTTTAGGCTTGCCCCCTTGTTCTTTACGCACTGTTAAAGGTGAAATATCCAAATGTATTCCTATCTTTCTTTGAGGAAGATTGTTTTTTTTAAACATTTGAATAATTTTATCATGTATTTGTTGGAAATCTGGAGATTTCCTCTGCCCACCTTTGCTGCTAAAGGACTAGACCTTTCCTGGATGCTGCTTTTGTACCAAATCAAAATTACAATCACCTGTTTCAAATCACAGCATATTAAACCAATTTACCTGATTACTAGCTACAAAGTACTCCAGTCCCAACTTTTTTGGAATGTGTTGCAGGTCTGAATGAAAGGAAAGGATGTTTCTTTACAAATTAAATGAAGTTGACTAAACAAAACATGAAATATTTGGTGTTCAAATTGTCTGCAATAAAATACAAGTCAAAGTTAATTTAGAAATCACTACTTTCTTTTTTATTTGTGTTTTTTCCATAATGCTCCAACTTTTTCTGATTTGGGGTTGTATTTCCATGAAATATCATAGAAAAGTGTATGCCTATATGAAAATGACCATTAGTCGCAGTGCTTCACCAGAGGCACGTTGGTCATTCATAATGCATATTTCAAGAGTCACATTGGGTTAACCCAAATGAAAAAATCCTATAGTAATTAAGGTCTCACTTTATATTAGGTGGCGTTAACTAATATCCACTGACATTACATCTGCAATTAATTTCTGCAATTTTTATTTCTTAATTACATCTTTAATTACACTGTTGACCATTCCTCAATAGTATCTGGATGCAGCCTTTATGATGCAAGCTGAGATTGCATCACTCAGTGATACATTGTCAGACACAATGCACTCAAATGGAGCGAGTGAAGTCACTGTGAGGGGTAGGGTTAGGTGAGCCCATTAAAAAGCATTGGATGCAGCTCAGATTGCACTGCACCAGGTCTGCATCCAGACCCCTCTCCCATTCCTTACACCCTAACCCACCATTAAACCTACCCATACACGCAAACCTGTCTCTAACCCTACCCAAATCCCACCTCAAGTGTTCTGAAATGCATTATGAACACAGTAAGTACATTGTATTTATGTTTTTGATCCAAGTAGTAGGCCACCTAATATATAGTAGGATTGTATTTTAAAATAAACTTTATAGAGTTTTTGAACCACACTGTAGTACAGTATTTAAAACAATCTGTTGTGGTAAATATATAGTTGCTATAATAACACAACATATAATAATATTAAGAAATCACTTAATAATGAAATTTTGTACAACTATAAGGTACATTATAATACAATACACCACAGTATACTGTTGTAAAAACAAATGTAGAGTACAGTATTTACTACAGTTAGCAGTTCACTATAGTTAATACTACATCATGCTGTAGCTTTCTTTCACAAAGTGTTGTAAATACAATATTATATACAGTTTAAATCACGTTACTATAGTATGGTTCAAAAATGCTACTATAAATTACTGTAGTCTTTAAGTTACATGTTGTATGTAGCCTTGTTTAGGTCACATGGAAAAAAAGGCGAAGAGAATACACTGCGATCCTGATCCAAACCGAGTTTATAAAATAAAAATAAAAAGTCTGCAATTTGAATGTCTCTATTTTGCTATTTTGCTGTATTGCTGCTTTTTTTATGCGGGTATTTCTGTGCAATCCCATAGGGCACGTGGGCAGCGATGGCACCCATTTCCACGGCTCCCTCCACATGGAACATCTGGTCATCAAAGTATATGTGGGGCCGGATTTTCTCCAGCATGGGGCCTTTTGGAGCCCCGGCCAGGAAAAGAGCCTCGTCTGTTTCGAGTCCCCAGGCACGGAGAGTCTTTAAGGCGCGGATGCCTGAGCTGGCTGCGCTGCGGGCCGTCACGAGGTAGGTGCGAATGGGACAGTCCAAACGGTGGCCTTTAGCGTAGAATTTCTTCTGAAGCTTCCCGAGCACTTCCAGAAAACCCTTCAGTGGCCCCTGTGAAGTGGACAGAGACATTATTTAGCATATATGAAGTGTAGCTTAAAATAGAAAGTTCTGTCATGAAACTCTAGATGGCACAAGTTGATATGGTTCACCTAAAAATGTAAATTCTGTCATCTTTTTTTGAGTTCCGCTATTTATGTTCAACACAAAGATATTTTGTGTAATTATGAAAGCATCTAACTTCTATAGCATTAATGATTTCTGTATTTATTTTGCTACTATGGATGTGAATGGTTACCACTTTACATCATTCTTCAAAATAGCTTCTTTTGTGTTCAGAACAAAACAAGAAACTCCTAAAAGTCTGAAACCACTTGAGGTTGAGCAAATTGTAGGTAAATTTGCTTTTTTGGGAGGGTGAACTATCGCTTTTACTTCATTAATAACTCGATCATAGTACATAGTGGTGCTAATTGGTAGCTGTAGAAGCTGTAAAAAAGAAGATATAAATTGTACATCTCTGTTGTTCTTAATGCGGCCAGTAGGGGGTGGCAGATATACAGCCATATTATAATTTGAATACAGTGTGAAGTTTATACTGGATTTGGAAAATCATGCGTTACAGTCTATTTAGAAATCCAAAGTTTCCAGTGACGGTTGGGTTTATGGGTAGGGGTGGTGAAGGGCCATATAATAAGTGATTTTTGATCATGATTATTATTATGATAATGTTCTGAAGGCTCTTAATATTACTGTACAGGCATAACACTGCATGGGACAGGATCTGCCTGGCCCCAGGTCTGCAGCCTTCCCATATTGTTTAATGAGGGATGGGATACTATTGCTATATTTTAATACTATTAAGCACTGCCAATGTGACAATTAAATTAAAATCACAGAGAAATATAAATATATTTACTTTAAAAATGTGGTTGTATCTGTGGAGTCAATATAGAGCATAGGTAGATTGATTTGGTTATGTCATTTACTACTTCATGGAAGAGAGCAAAACTAAAGATAATTTGGTGCTAATTTTTTTTTTTAGCTGCAGCTATCTGATTTGTGGATATTTTGTACAGTATCATGGTTATTGTAGAATTTTTGTAATTTATCAAGCACAAGTGCGTTTTTTTAAAAGTTTCATTAATTTTTCAACATTAAATTTTAAAGTTGAATTAGATATTTAGGTTCAATAAAGGCATGCAGAATCTGTAAATAATCTCAAAGTTCACAACAGGTTTGTCTTTAAAGGTTTATAAACATAAAGGGGTCTATTATAACGATCTCGGCGCAGTCGAAAGTGCATGGCACAAAAGCATTAAGGATGTGTTGGAATTCACTTTTGCTATTGTAAGAGCAGAAAAAATATGGTTTGCATCCTGGCGCATGGTCTAACTGGGTTGTGCTTATTCTCTTAATGATTTATGGGTGTGTTTTAAGTATAATGTGCATTAAACCAATCAGGGTCTCATCTCACATTCCCCTTAAGAGTCAGTTGCATCGCCATGCGCATTTGCTATTTACATGCTGGACTTTGTAAATGGAAAAACTGAACACTTCACTAGCAAGAAAACAGTTAACAGACCATCTGCAGCGCAAGGATAAAGAACGAGCCTCCTCCATTTTGCATCTTTACTTTTACTTTACTTTACTTTTCCTCTTTACTCTTTTACTTTAATGGATAAGGAAATGGCGTTGTACACACTACACTTAAGACACCCATCGTTAATGAAGACATCTACTGCTTTAATTTTGTTTGTTAAGCGCAAAGATTTGTTTCAAATCTATTTGTAATTCAGTTTTAATTAATAGCAAACGAATTAATGAACAATAATAACACAGTGTGAAGCCCCATATGGTTATGCAGACGTCTCCAAAACAAGGTGGACAAATCTAAACTTGTTTTTATTAAAACAAATATAAATATGCATATAATAAATAATACTGCTAATAATAATAACCACATACAAATGCAAATTGTCATGAATATATTTAAAAAAAAAGCCAACACAAGATTAAGTAGGCATGGAGGCAGTGGTTTTTATATTTATGTATAAAATAGTTTTTTTTTTACATTTTGATCCTTAATTTTTTTTTAATGTAGAGATATTTGTGTATTACTGTATCTTGTGAGTATTAAGAAATGTGTAACCGCTTGAACCTGCGTAGGCACATAACTAACGAGCTCTGTGATTTAGGACTTAAGACCTGCTTTCAGTTGGTCAATGGCGCAGTCTATTTCAGTTCCTCAAAATAGCAATGCGCCAACAATGCGCCTTAACACACCTCCTTTCTAGACCAGCACACCCATGAGTCCACAAAGTGGCGCAAATGGATTTGCTATTTAAAAACATGGTGCAAAACGCAAGAATTAGTGTTGTGCTGGTCTAAAAATAGCAACAAATCACTCCAAACACGTCTTGTGCATTATTGTGACGGGTGTATGATAGGACCCATAATGGTTTAAGTGTGCCACACTTTTGGGATCTGATAAAGTAATTAAATAAAGTAATCTAATCTAATAAAGTAAAAACTAATTACAATTTTAAATATAAAAATGACTCTGCTCGTTAGCTTTCAGATACAAACAGCTCAGATGGGTAACTATAAAACTACATACATGATCCAGCAATCTGTTTTCATTTTCCCTCTCATGCTCGAAGAACTTGTCCAGGCCGTGGGCTTTAAAAATGCGCTCAGACTCATCAGAAAAGAGAACGGCATCGCCATCAAATGCCACTCTCAGCTGCGTCTCGGACACCTCGATCTGTTTTTCTGGCATAAACATGGTGGCTGCTGCAATTCCTGTAAGAAGACACAAAAACAAAAGTAAATCTCACCAGCTTAGAGGAAAAACACAGTGATGAACGACATTTAAAGTGTGCTCTTTAAAGAGATTAGGGCCCATTAAGCCTCAGCAAAACAAATAGGTCATTGGATTGCTAAGCATTCAGTCATTCTGGAGCTCAATGCTTTCCCACATTTCAATTACTTTATTTCGATTTTGAAATTAATTTGTGCAGTAATTAATATGTCAATCTGTGATACCAAACAAAGCAACACACAGTGCGTGGCGCACAGTCATTTAATGAAATGGAAAACCGCAAGAGTGATTCCTATGACCACTGAGTCATTTTCATAATTCAAAATCAATGACAGGTCACCTCTCAAATGACCTCTCCAAAAATACCACAAGCCTAATGTCTGAAAAACACCTGTTCAGACTGTTCAACAATTTTTCACTGAGTTAAAGGGAGAGATCACACAAAAAATGTACATTTTACTTACCCATAACTTCAAAAACCAATTTGACTTTCTTTTTTCTGCTAAACACAAAAGAAGATATTTTGAAGAATGCTGGTAGCTGGCACTCATTTATGTTAAATATCTTCTTTAGTGTTCAACAGAAGAAAGGAACTCATAAAGGATTAGACCCTCATGAGGGAGAGTAATTGATGAGGTAATTTCCATTTTTTGGTGAACTATCCCTTTAATTCAAGTGTGTAGCATCATTGAGGCACATAATATAACTTTTACACATTATTTGTGAATCAAATTTGATTGAAACCTTTATTGGTAAGTCTAAAAAAAGTCATATAATTATTACCTTTAACATCAAAGGTAACTTTGGGCATGTTATAAAAGTGAAACATGTAGCACATGTTGCAATAAAATGTCACATTTCTCTTTTGATTTGTTGAAATAAAATGTGCTACAAGATTAAGTACAAAACACCTGCTGTAGTTATCACATGTTTACGTTGACAGTGTCCTAACCTTCAGAGAGGGCCTCCTGAACCTTTTCGGCATCGGCAGACAAATACAAGTTTGTATGAAACGCTTTCAGGTACCCAATGGGGCTACTGCCTCCCGTCATGCAGAACCGCTCGATGAATAGATCTGAGGACAAGAGAAGAATATTAACTATTCATGAGAGCCAGTTATTATTGCATTTACAGTAGTACATTTGGCAGAAACTTTAATCCAAAGTGGGTACATTTAAATTTAAATAATCTCTTGTTTATTTTTGTCTATTTTTATTTAGAGTACTCTGCTAGGTCAAAAAAAGGAAGTAGTCTAGTGGTGTCACTATATTTAGAAGAAAATGAGTTATGAATGGCATTGTAGAAATGCAATTAGTAGTGAACCCTGAGAATAAAAGCCTAAATTAAATCTGTTCATCATAAGAAGCAACTGTCTTTTCAGAAAGTTTGGATTAATGGTCTGATTCTTATGAATGTATTCTTTTAGCCTCTTTGTGGACTTTCAAAGGGGTGGTCCACCACAATATCATATTTTTAACTTTAGTTGATGTGTAATGTATCTGTGTGAACATAAACAACATCTCTAAATGTAATACGCTCAAAGTTCAATGCAAAGGGAGACATTGGCTTTTACAAAGTTAGCTAAGCAAAGTTTGGCAACTACAAAAAATACATCTGGGTTAGTGAAATCACTGTTCAGCTGTGTCCTCTTCATTTTCTGTCTAATTCAGGCTTACGTGCTAGTAGATGTTAAATTCTAGATCTGATATGCGTCTGGCCAGAAGTGTGATATGCACAGAAATATAGCAGCATTTTTTATGAGACTGTATAACAATAATTCATATTTTTACAGTACTGTGACGGTTGGGTTTAGGGTTGGGGTGGGGCTAGGTGTTAAAAAATACAATTTATTGGGTAGTTTAATAGTTTAATAGATAGCATAAATAATGCTCATTCATTAATTTATTTTCTTGTCGGCTTAGTCACTTGACTATGAACCACCAACTTATTCAGTTCGTTTTACGCAGCGGATGCCCTTCCAGCTGCAACCCATCTCTGGGAAAATGAATAATCCTCGGTACAACAATTTTTTTGTTTATTGTTGTGATGGTTGGGTTTTGGGTTGGGGTGTGGGTAGACGTTACAAAATACAATAAATGGGAAATTTAATGAATAATGATAATTCTCTAACTTCCAGCCGCAATCGTATCTGATCTAGCAACAACCCTAGTAGACGGGAAGTGATGCATCCTGGTGGCGTGGAGGCAATCCGCGAATCACAGAATTTTATGTTAGCTGACCAATCAGAGCCTCTTGAGGGCAGGCTTTTGAAGGAACAAGAAAATATTCATTCATTCATTTTCTTTTCGGCTTAGTCCCTATTTTAATCCGGGGTCGCCACAGCGGAATGAACCACCATCTTATCCAGCATGTTTTTACGCAGCGGATGCCCTTCCAGCCGCAACCCATCTCTGGGAAAATGAATAATCCTCGGTACAACAATTTTTTTGTTTGTTGCTGTGATGGTTGGGTTTTGGGTTGGGGTGTGGGTAGACGTTACAAAATACAATAAATGGGAAATTTAATGAATAATGATAATTCTCTAACTTCCAGCCGCAATCGTATCTGATCTAGCAACAACCCTAGTAGACGGGAAGTGATGCATCCTGGTGGCGTGGAGGCAATCCATAAATCACAGAATTTTATGTTAGCTGACCAATCAGAGCCTCTTGAGGGCGGGCTTTTGAAGGAACAAGAAAATATTCATTCATTCATTTTCTTTTCGGCTTAGTCCCTATTTTAATCCTGGGTTGCCACAGCGGAATGAACCGCCATCTTATCCAGCATGTTTTTACGCAGCGGATGCCCTTCCTGCCGCAACCCATCTCTGGGAAACATCCACATGCACTCATTCACACTCTTACACTACGGACAATTTATCCTACTCAGTTGACCTATACCGCATGTCTTTAGACTGTGGGGGAAACCGGAGCACCCAGAGGAAACCCACGCAACGCAGGGAGAACATGCAAACTCCACACAGAAACACCAACTGACCCAGCCGAGGCTCGAACCTGTGACCTTGCTGTGAGGCGACAGCACTAACTACTGTGCCACTGCATTGCCAACTAGGAAATATGATTGTCGTTTTCATTTCAGCTGAGTAGCTGTGCATAATCTAAGTAAGATATATGAAAAAGTAATGTGCATTTTTACCAATGAAACACACAAATTGCTTTGCATCTTATAAACACAACCACCCCTTTAAAGTACTTTTATTGTAAATAGAGTCTTTTACATAAGTCGTATATTTGAGTAAAAATTTCTTAATTTGTGTTCTGAAGAGTCTTACGGGTTTGGAACAAATTAAGGGTGAATAAACGATGACAAATTGTTAATTTTGGGGTTAACTGTGCCTTTAAATACTAATCAAAATGAGCTTCCGTCAAAAATAACACAGAGCTATGTCTATGGAGTCAAACAAGAGCAGCAGATCCTAGATTTTATAAACCAGTCATCATAGATGTAAATATAGTTGAGCAGCTCTCAAATTTGAAGTATTTAGACACAATTTATTGAAAATAAACTTTAAACATGTCATATAGATCATTAATAGAGAGTGTTATCACATATAATATTAACACAAGACTTAAACAGAAGAAGAAACTATCGCAAATTATCAACCAGGCAGACAAGATAACTGGTTACAAGCAACATTCCCTGCAGACTCTGTTTGGCTCCTTTATGGAAAAAACAGAAATTGTGATTTTTTTAAAGATAATACACATCCCCTTCACTCAGCTTTTGGAAATGTTACAATAAGGACGCAGGTTTAAAATTCCCAAAGCCCAAAGAAAGGCTTATTAAAAGTCATTTATCCCGATTGCAGTCATTGTATTGAATCGGATCACAGTTTAATGTGAATGGTGCAGTTGTTAAGAATGATCTGCAGTAATATGTATGAAGCTAATTTGCTTTTTAAGTTTTTAATTTATGTTGTTGTCTTAATGAGTGTTGCTATTATGTAATTGGTGAATGGTTGTATCTGTGTTACCAGTGTTAAAGACAAATTTCCTTTCTGTGCCGAGCAGGTACTTACACTGTACTTTGCTGGTTGTAAAAGAAAGCGTTACCTAAATTTTAAACTAAACTAAACTAAACTATTCTTCATATCTTTTTTTGTGCTGAACGAAAATATAAGAAATCAACAATTATCTATAACCACTTAATAGTACAAGTAAATGGTAAATATTTTTAAACTATCCCTTTAAGATAATGTTTGTTTGTGAGAAGATTTGACTATTTATCATGAACTGTTTAGCAGATGGAAAACTAACACTGATGGGAAATGTTAAGCTAATGTGCTCTTTTTAGCTTTTGACACATTGGTGCACGAGTGCCAGCTCAGTAAAACATCAGCAGGAGGTTTGATTTACGTGACACGTCAGGGCCAAGTTTGCCCAGGGGTAAAGCAAGGGATAAGGTACAGTCAGATGATCATTATCGTAAAATGAACCCCAGTTCTGACGCAGAGTAGCTGGGTCTCACATAATCCTGAAGGGGTTTATTTTGCAATACTAAATGCTAATGCTACCAAACAGTTGAAGTCAGCTTTATTAGCCCTCCTGAATTATTAGCCACCCTGTATGTTTTTCTCCAAGTTCTGTTTAACAGATTTATAAACATAATAGTTTTAATACCTCCTTTCTAATAACTGATTTCTTTTATATTTGACATGATAATATTTTACTTGATATTTTTCAAGATACTAATATTAAGGTTTATATGATCAGTTAGTCCTGACAGCATATGTTTTAGGTCATTGTAACCTTTTAAACTAAAGTAATCATGTTCTAACTTAATTTTATAAGTTATGCATGCTGTTTTTAGTCAGTTTTTAGTCAGGTTAATTTGATTCAGCTTAAAAATTCAAGGCAACTAGGATTTTTTTACAGGGTGGGTTATTTAGGCAAGTTAGGGTAATTAAGTCATTGCATAACAATGGTCTGTTGTGTAGATGATCAAAATAATAATATTGGCCTTAAAATGCCTTTTTTTTAAAATAAAAACTGCTTTTATTCTAGCCCAAATAAATCAAACACGACCTTTTTTCCAGAAGAAAAAATATTATTGGAAATACTGTGTACAATTTTTTGCTCTGCTAAACATCATTTGGGAAATATTTGAAAAAGAAAAAACTCACAGGAGGGCTAATAATTCTGACTTCAGCTTTATATAACACAATAACTCTACATTATCATACTTATTATATGGCTACTTTGTAAATATGTAAACACATTCATTTTATCCTGTCAGAAAAATGAAACTGCAATTAGAATGAATGCAATTAGAGAAACACCAAGGGAGATGCTAGGGATAAGTGATGGTAAAAATATAGTTATTACCTATATAGTTGTTATTATATTACCTATTTTCTTTACTGCCGAAGTTTTAAATACTGTAGCTCAGTGTTTCTCAACCACGGTCCTGGAAGACCACAAACACTACATGTTTCGGATGTTTCTCTTGCCCGACACCCATTACAGGTCTTCCATTCTGCTAATTCCTGCTAATTTGCTGAAAATCTGAATCAGGTGTGTTTGGTTAAGGAGACACGAAAATGTGCAGAGCTGGTGTTCCTCCAAGATAGTGGTTGAGAAACACTGCTTTAGCTCATCCAAAAATGTGATTGCTGTAGGAGTCCCATAGGATGTACTAAAGGTGACAACTCGTATGATTCCCCAAGCCATGACCTTATCAAACTATAGTCTCATCAATACATTTGTTTGTTGTGAATGTGTGCCATCTAGGGGCAAACTACATAATGTGCCTTTAAAAAAAATGTCTGCATAGAAAAATCATTAACAAGAAGCACAAATATATTTCATAAAAAATAAGAATTGTCTATTTTGATTTCATTTAATTCATTCATTCATTTTTCTTCGGCCTAGTCACTTTACCCACCAACTTATCGAGCATATGTTTTACACAGTGAATATGTTTTACACAGTGAATGCCCTTCCAGCTGCAATCCATCCCTGGAAAACACCCATACACTCTCATTCACACACATTCACTATGGCCAATTTAGCTTATGAAATTCACACATGTCTTTGGACTGTGGGGGAAACCGGAGCACCCAACCGCGGCTCAAACCAGCGACCTTCTGGCTGTGAGTGCTAACCACTGAGCCTGTGCTGGCACTTTTAATTAATGACTTTGGAAAGTCCATTTTTTGTTTGGCTACTAAATACATCAGGTAAAACGTGTATCATTATAAAATATGAATTTATTAGTGATGTGTATGTAATATTTTGTATACATCTGGAAGCTAATGGGACTAACGTCCCCTACAAGAACATGCACTTAGTATTTTAGATCAAATAGTATTTCATGCAATCTGACTGGCTCTGCTTGTGAACCCAAAAATAGCTGCAGAATAATAACTATGCTTTAAATGAAATAAATAAATAATAATATTAATAATGGCCCATTCTCATTTTCTTTCATATGATTTTTGTTGTTGGGTTTGCCGTCAAGGGTTTTGGAACTCTAAGACTTGCATTTATCTTCCAACAAACATCTAACATATTTTGTGGTTCAGAACATGGAGTTCTGACTTCAAATAGTTCTTGAAACGTCAGTCCATATCCTCATATTTGTTGTTTTGTCCAAAGAGAGGCCAAAAGATGGAGCGGTGTTTGTTTTCTCTGCAGTTCGCCACCGGAACGATCAAAACCAGTCCAGCTGTGGCGCTGCAGGGAGCTGAGCAGGAAGTGGCTGCTTTGTGATACAGAGGTTACAGGAGTCATATGCATCTCTGTGGGAAGATGTGATTGGCCAGCTGGAGATCTATCGTCTAAGAAAACATTTGCATTTACAGTTCTGTGTCCTCAAAGTTTTGAAGCTACTTAAAGGGATAGCTCACGCAAAAATGAAAACATTCTCATCATTTACTCACTCTTCATTTGTTACAAACGTTTCTCTCTTCTGTTGAAAAAAAACATTTTTTTAAAGAAAGCTAAAAACCTGTAATTAGGGATGCTCCGATCAGGATTTTTGCAGCAGATACCGAGTACATTCCTTGTCATGGTGATCGCCAGATACCGAGAACCGATTCTGATGCTTCAAGCTTTATAATGTATAAAGCACATTTTCCCTTTAAGTATGATACTTAAATGGAGTTTCCTCCTTACCTAAGAGAATAAATTAAAGATCTGCATATAATCCCCTAAACACGTGTATTATAACCATTAATGTGGACATGTCATGGTCAGAAGGAGCGTTACAGAAAATAATAGATGAAACAGCTTTAAAAATTGGTAAGAAATGATTAACAACGCAATTTGGAAACATTGCAAATGATGAAAGAAGTATTCAACATGTCTCAATCAAGAAAAGGTATGGAGCACATGTATGATGCATAAGAAGTTAATCTAACCAATGTAATGCTTTGAACCTCACCGTGCCTCTCTCAATCCGTTCTCTTGCTCACTCAATCTCATCGGCATTATTTGCAAGGTATTTTCTCTGATTTGCGGGTGTTGTGGAGCCACTTTGCGGGAGACTCACGGAGGTAGGACAGCGGTTGAACACTAGATAGGAGCGATCGCTCTGTTTGCATCACAGCAGCTCATATAAAATGGCTGCAACAAAGAGACTATCACTCGCACGAGTTGCACCACATCTGGATATATTTTATTTAGCCGTTGTGACGTGAGCACAGCGATCGCTCATGCCTCTGCACATCATATACCTCCTAACATGTTGTGGCGCTGCTGATGTATAATATACAGGTGCACACATGCCTCTTCCTCTGCTTGTAAACTCGTAAACAAACATTTGCGATCGGTTCATGAGATTGGCGAGCACTGATTGAGTCATGAAATGTGATTATGGGCCAATACCGATCTCCGGCTGATCAATTAGAGCATCTCTACATGTAACTATTAACATCCATATTTGTTTCTCCTACGATAAACATCAAGGGTTCCCAGTTTTCAGGTTTCCTCAAAACATCTGCTTGTTTTAGTTCACCAGAAGAAAAAAACGCATAAAGGTTTGGAACAACTTCAGTCTGTGTTAACAGTATGATGGCCAAAAATAATCGAGCAAACCGGTGATGTTTGCGGCGAGGAGAAGTAAACCACAAGAAGATTACAGACCTACACATGAGGAAACTAGTGCTTGCGCACGCACAGGGGATGTTTTCATTATCATCTGTGCGCACAATGTATGCTCTCGCAAGCGAGGTTATGCCTCACAGCGCGTGCGCGATCAGTTTTCCCACTCACTCGCTGGCTCTTCTCTCTACTAATGGCGTAATCTTTAAACCTGCGTCCAATCCCGGCTAATTTCCGGAAAGGGAGGGTAACCCAAGAGCATTAGAGAAAACAATTAAACCAAGTCCTGCCCCAAGACTGACAAAAATCCTAAAAATTTTGCACGAGCAAAGAGAAGAGCCAGCGAGTGAGTGAGAGAACTGAAGATCATGCGAGCGCTCTGAGTTCCCCTGTGCACTAGTTTCCTGGTCTGTAATCTTCTCGCGGTTCACTTCTCCTTGTGTTAAAAGTTTTTTGTGACAGTTAATTTGAGTCATGAAAATATCCAAAACTACTATAAAATGTTATATATTTTGCTGACTTGTGTCTACATTATCCCAAATTTAAACTTAAATTTTAACTTGTAACATGGAAGTTCTCCTCTTGTATCAACATGCTAATGATGTCACACCTTCAATTTCTGGTTCAGTTTTATAGAAATCAGGAAAATACAAAGACGCTGTAATATGTTGCGCATTTTATTAGACTACACAGCAGCATTATTACAGAATCATATGATATAACAAAACTACTTCTTCTCCTCATGATCACAACCAGAAGAAATAAAGTGCTTGACTGTGGCATAATAAAAGCTCTGCTGTTTTTGTGTGGCGCTCGTCAGCAGTTGCCTCATCGCCCTCATTTCATTTCGACAGCTTTCAGTGTAAATCTGCATCATACTACCTTGATTATAAGTTTTGAATACTTTAGCTCATCCATCCCGTAGGATATATTAAAGCATTGTTTTAAATTACAATTTTAATAAAATATTTAAAATATTGTTTGTAAATACATGCCCTCTTGTGGCAAAAATAACATACTTTTCCTTTAATAGCTGTTCCACAAAATTCTTTTTGATCATTTAATACTGATGTACATGTAAATAGGTAGTACAAATGCAGGTTATGAAAAGGTCAGCAATACACTTACTGTGGTAATTGATGGTGTTGATGAGTCTGACGCCAACATGGGCATGGTTGTAAGTTACCAGCACAATGTCAAAAAGCTCCTCGCTTTCTGGATAGAGCTCCCTCAACCGGGTGTTTACTGCCTCCAGAGCCTGAGAGCAAAAAAAAAACATGTAATAGAAGTTTTACAATAAAATGAAGCAATCGCAAACTAACGTGTAGTTTTTTTAAAATAATCTAATAATGATTCATATTTTTAGAAAGTATGATTAGTTATCATTGTGCATTTTTACCTTGACAAATGGGAATGCTGGGCCAGGAGCAAAGGGCTCATTCTCGTGCTCCACCTGATACCTGAGGTACTCCTCGATGCCTTTCTGCTCAAACACCTTCTGCTCTTTCTCTGTGCGGAACATAACTCGGGAAGACACGGCTATGGTCACTGCGTTTTCTGGTTTGGGCTGAACAGAGATGAGGAAATGGCTATGAGACATTGGTCACAAATGCAAAGACATTTTTAGCACTTAGCAGGCAAATACCTGGGTATATATTCCTAAAAAACATGCATGTTTTTATCAAGTTGGACTGTCTGACTGACTGTTTAGAAGTCTTCTGAAATCATGCAGTCAAAAAATCAGCATAGGCTCATTGTGAATATGTACCCCTGTCCACATTTCTGGAGAGCGTGAATTATGTAGCCAGAGGTATGTATGGCTGCATTTCATCTTTAAAATAAACGCTATGGGGTGGTATAACACCGCCGTCGGCTTCTGTTCCTTTTAGCGTACAATTTCTGTATGATAATAGACATGCACAATATTTGACCGGTTTTTTGTTTATTTTTAAAAAATAGTAATGTCACAATCGTGGTTGGGGGAAAAAGAAGCGAGGACCCAAGTGCCGAGTAAATAAGTATTTATTTATAATAAAATAAATTAAAAGGCAAAATAAACAACCCAGAGGCGGGAAAAACTAATAAAACAAATAAATAATGAAAACAAACTAGGATGGAAAGGCTGGCGGGGATCAGGACTGGAACAAGGCAACATACAACAAGACAAGGCTACATACGATGACATATGATGACGAACTGGCACAGGACAGCAGACATGAGGATAATATAAGCAGAAGTAAACACACAGGTGAACAAACAGGTGAATCTAATAAACTAATAATGGGTTAACAAGGAGGGTGGGACTAGACAATAGATGGGAGAGCACATGACACAAAAGCCCCTTTCACACAGTGATACCGGTAAATATCTGGAAAATTTCCGGAACGACTTTACCGGTATATTCAAAAAAGCGCTGTTCACACAGGCGAGGACGTTACGGAAATTTTCCGGAAAAGAGCATTCACACATCCATTCCAAAATACCGGTAAATTCTGACATCATTCACCACAAATGAGCTTTAAACGGCTGCGCTAGTGCGCTTGTATTTGTAAACATTTGCCTAAATTACAAACTCTGTGGATGATCAATATTGTGAACAACTTTCGCAGGATCACTTTCGCATGTCGAGAAGTTCATAATATGTGCGTGCGCTGGCGCTCACAGGCACACGCAAAGCTTGAAGGTAAACAAACAACGGCTTATCATAAGCATCTCATCGGTGATAATTTACACAGTTGGCATAAAGAAGAACATATAAACGTGATCTGACTAACTTCTAGCAGCTAAATGTGTCTGGAAAAATATTCAAAGGTTTTTATTCTCACAAACCGCGCGGACGTAAATGCGTCTGACTGTTGTAATTGGCTAAAGCAGACGTCTCACGTCAGCACGTTCTAGACGTGCACGCGCTTATTACGGTAATCTTCCTTTTGCGTTCACACAGCGCAGCATTCCGGCAAATTGCCGGTAATGTTACAACTTCTCTTTCCGGAAAATAGCCAGAACGAATTTACCGGTATTTTCAAAAAGGACCTGTTCACACATACAACCTTTCCGGAAAATTGCCGGCAATTTTCCGGAAAGGTCTGTATGTGTGAAAGGGGCTATTGAGACAACACAAGCCATGCACTCACATAAAACGAGACTAGAACATGCAGCCAATGAGAGAACTCATTAACCACGTGTTCTTGACAACACAAGCATGCGGTACATGTAAACATGCACCACGTGTTAAACACAACACCAGCAGAAGACTGAACGTGAGACAAGAGTACACAATGAATGAAAACACTCACCATGCAATCACACACGCAGCGTGCATGTTTCATCCCAGCACCGACCGAAACCAACTAAACTGAGACGCTGGGAATGAAACACCACGCTGCAGACAGACGAACGGTGACACTCAGACGAGAGCGCGCAATTGCAAACACGCACAGACCTCACGCGCCCGCATCAAGCGGGAATGCGCACGGTCCAATCGCGTTCACAAATGGCGCTCATACAGAGACACACACAATGACAAAAACAGGACAAGACAGAGCTAGCTGACAAATAATTGATGCAGTCATGCACGTGTTTTGACAGCTAAAATGATGGGGATTTGATGCTTTGCAAAATTTGCAGACACTTTTACCGATATTAAAATGCTTTCTTTATGTAAAATTCATTTAAATTGCTTATGCCGGTTAAGAAACTTAAATAGGCCTAGGCTATAAAAAAATGCGATCTAAAATGTAAAACTAAATAGATTGCTAAATATTCTAGACACATAACAAAGTGTAAAGCCCGCAGCTCACAACAAATGAAAGTTATTGCGTATCATATTTAACAAACTGTTTACTACAAATTGTATATAATTTTATATAAAAAAGTAATATGAATAATTAAATATTAATCAGATGATGTCATTATGCTGCTGTGCTGTCAGCCAATCATTGCACTGCCATTTTCACAACACATGCAGAGATCTCAGATCAGCCCATCCAGACATTTTAATCTGATAATCAAACTTGTTTGAAGAACCAAATTAGCCAGAGATCAGTATCAAGATAAAATGATCCAAGATCTGTCAAATCTATCAAAGAACAAACCCCAGGATTGCTGGTGATTGTGACACACACAAAATAAATTACACCAGATTAAACTTATTTTATTTTTTTAGGCACAAGAAAATGGAAATAAAACACTGATTTTACAATAAAATATATTATAAGCTTGTTGTAACATATTATTTTTGTTGTTTTATGTATTATTTTATTTTTAATACATGATTAAGTAAAAAATTCTGAAAATTTTGTCAAATTTAAATAATTTATTATAGAAAAAGTTTCTTTTTATCTTTAATTTATATTTATTTCAGTGGTAGAATTTACGTTATTTCAGTTCATTTTAATGACATATTTAATTCAATCTCAGTCAACAAACAAATTTGAATTTTAGGTTTGGTGATTAAAAAAAACACAATTGTTTACCCAAAAATATCAATTATGTCATCATTTACTCACTCTCGTGTAATATGTGGAGAAAATATTATTATTAATTATTTATTATTACTATTATTAATATTAACACACATGTTAAAATAATAAACAACACTAATATATTGCATGAATTAAAATTCAACTCAATTCAAACGCACCCCTTATTTTGTGCAGCACAAGCATTCTGCAAAACATATTTGTGCTGAAAGAACAACATCAGGCTGAGAGAAGTATTGGGTTATTTTCCACAGCAAAAGTGAATTCTGTAAAGTGCATAAAGCAGTAGGAAGAACAATATGAAAAACAATCATCTCTCCAGAGTAGGCAGCCATGCGTCATTCCAGATGATCTTGTTAAGTGAGGAGGCAAGAATAGCGTGATTAATGAAGAGCACATTAGGATCTCGGTGTTCAGAGCAGATCAGACTTGACCGGGACATTTGGGATTATCCAGATCATCACGACTGCTCTGTTCATCAATTTTGTAGGCCCACATAATCACAGCGGTGTAAATATAGCATTTAAAAAAAAGCTACACTGAAAAAAATATATTATTCATTGGGTTTACTAAAATTTTGTTTAAGTAAGTGGTTGCAAACTATTTATATGGGCTAAATTTAAACAAATTAAATTGAGTAAGGTTTACCTTTGTTTGTTTAAATCCAGCCCATATAAATTGTTTGCAACCACTTACCTTATAAAATTTAAGTAAATCCAATAAATATTTTTTTTCAGTGTAACCGAGTAAAAAGTACAGATACTAAGCTAACATTAAAAAGGAAAAAAAAATTTACTTTAAATGAGTTCACCCAAAATACGTAATTCTGTTATCATTTACTCACTTTTAAGTAACAACATATTGAAAACCAATAACCATTGTACACTGTTAGACATTTCTGTAAATTACACAGTTATTTACTGTATTTCACCCAGTGTAATACTGCAAATTCCTTTTACGGTAAATAACTGTATTTACCGTTGCATTATGGGAATTTAGTGTGACGTCGAACAACATATACAGCGATGTACTGTATTTGTAAAAATTCGTGTATTATACTGTATTTTCCACAACTGCTTCAACGCCACCTTGCGGCGATTCGACTACTCTGCACCACATTTTGCCTGAGGACCCTGGAGCAATTCTGGAGGACAATTTATTAGTGTGCCTGAAGAACATACTGGATTTAACAAACTTTATTCTGGTAAGCTGAGGCAGTGTTTCATTTTACAGAATGTTTTGTGGACGAGAAAAGAACAAAGTAAAGTATAAAGTTGGCTATTATTATTTTCTCTGGCTTGGCGTTATTTCGCCCATTTGAGAAATATATCACCTATTAAGATGTTACCTTTATTTAATTTATTACATTAACACTACTATTACTTTAAATAAGACTGTTTATGACTATTAGCCATTGTTCTCGTCATATCTTTTTATTTATTTACATAGGAACCGGTGTTGCAGCGGGTTTTGGTTTAGGAGGGAACCAGAGGTATGCAGACAGTTTTGGAGGACACTTAGCACGAGACAACGGTCCGGCAGAGAGTGTTTCCCCCAGAAGAATATGAATGAAAGACCATCAAATAATCCAGGTAAAAGCGCGTCTGTCTGTGCTGACAACACTCGACATTGATTTGAGCACCTCTATTAGCATTTGTTTGCTCGGCAACATTGGCTGAAGCGATTTTAAAATGGTAATGTTAACTGTTAGCTAAACTGAGCTAAGTTTATACTGAATTGGACTCAAACTCATTTTAACGTGCAACGTTTAACTTATATTGATTTATACTATATATATATTAGATGTTGTGAACTTATTTTTCTCTGGTTTAGAGTAACTTATATCGTTAGCTTGAGAAAATAACATCGCGACGTAACCTATAAGAACGTTAACGTAAATCTATACAATATGCATAGAGGTAAAGTTGGTTTTATATTCGCACATTCGTTCATTTAGAAGACTCTAACGTTATACTGTTTACCATGTTACTTTGAATATTCGATCAGAATTAGCATGCCAGTATGACTTGAAATCAACATTAACACTGTTTATTTGACCGTGAGCATGTTGTACTTTGATAGTCGT